CTTTTTATTAGTTGCTGTTACTTTAATATTTCTATTTAATTTTAGTAATTTTAGTACTTCAACTTTTCAACATTTCAAATTTTCATTTAAGTTTCTAATATTTCAGCTTTATTTCAATTAACAAAGGTTTTAATAATTTTAGTTGTTTAAGTTAACAGCAATAACACTGACCTTGATATATACTTACAAATGCACTTTACAATTTAATATCATTTTTTTCTGATTACAGTAAACGGACCCAATTACTGTATAATGAAAACAATGTCATTATGTAAAAAAAACAACTTACAGTTAAAAAAAAAATGGCTTCAATTATGTTATTCAGTTGTTTGTTTGTTTTTTTGGTACAATTTGACAGTTTCCAATCCATGAGAGTCTTTCTAATACAAATGTTTCTTCTCTCTTGTCTCTCTGTTCAGAATGTGGTAATGCTGATGAGTGACTTTGTGGATTGGCTAATCCCAGACATTCCCAAGGACATTAGCATTCAGATACACAAGGAGAGGAACCTCATTGTCGAGCTGTTCATGAAACAGGAACGGGGCAAGAAGTACAGGAATACCATCGGTGACCCAAGCCCCCAGCCGCTGCGCTCACGTCCCAGCTCACAAGCTTAGTCCAGCACTCTCTCTGATCCCAGTGCTGCGAGGGAAGCAGTAATACGGTCCATTCTAGGGCCTGTTTATAACTCAGTCCAGCTCTGTGACCTGCTCAAACAGAATGGAAAGGCTGTAGAAGACTGGCCTGACCTGGAGGACCACTGCTGTAAGGATCAATGTTGTTACAAAGAATGTTACATGACTGCCACCTCACTGGTATACCAGAAAAAAGTTACAAGAAAAAGATTTCTTTTCTTTTGTTTGTTACTGAATTAAGCATCTTTTTCTATCAGCTATATGCAACTTCTGCTGGTAGGTGTGTTTGGAAAGAGGGCTGTAGGGTTTGTATTGTTTTATCTGTTGACTGATGAATATTGTATTAAGTTTTGTGAAGCATCGCTGCTTTCGCATTTATAGACAACTAATGAGCATTTTATTTGAAAATGCAATGCTTTTATATGAATTTTAACATGAAAATGTAATGTTCATGTTTTCAATATTGATAGGATAGGATTGAACTCTGAACCAACTCGTTTAAAGTGCTTTTTAAATTATTTAATATTAGACATTTCATTCAGAATATTTCTGGTCAAGTGAATTAGCAACTATCAATATCATACTGTTTCCTCTTTAGGTACTAAGCACAGTTAGTTCTGTTCTATCATTGTAATGATTGTGTCTGTTTAGCCTTTAGCTGTCTATATATAAAATATAGATTTAAAACACTACAAATTAATCAAAGTCACTATAATGCTCACTTGGTCTTTTTTTTAGTATTCTAGAATTTCTATTATATGCGGTGGAGTGATTCTGACAGGATGTCGATTGATCTTGGGGAGTTTTGGCAGCATGCAAGTGCTTGGTTTTTAGGTAGTGCATCTGAAAATGCTATCAAGTTGTGCTGAGAAAGGGTACACTGTATATAAACCCATGACGTTCAAGCTGCCTTAATATTCATGATAATGCACTGCATTTATTAATGGGTCATATGGACAGAGTTTTGTGTCTGCCTGTCTAAATGTTCTCTTGTCTTGATTCGTGAAGTTTCAACCTTTATAAAATGGCAATGATGATGGAAGAGATATATATTGGAATGTTGCATGTGTCTTCCATTTACAGAAAGTATGTCTAGCGTGATAAATAAAAGAGTGGTTTTAATTGAAATCAATATAATATTAATATAACATATGAAGGCATACTCTGTTTGGACATATGACATGCTTTTTTCTGATAAAATTGAATTATTAAACAACGCTCTGTATTTCCTCACTTTAAAAAAAGGGCCTTGGTTTTACCTTTATTATAAATTGACAATGTAAACCCATTTATAGACTGTTACTTCATCCCACATACTGTGTGAGAAAGAAAGAAAGAAACCTTTAAATGTCTTTTATGTCATTGTAGCGTTTCAGTGTCTCAAACTGCTAATGGGAGGTTATGACTGTACTTTTGCTTTTGAATTATGTTTCGAAAATAAATATGTCCTATACATTTGGTAGGCTATGTATACATTTATTGACTCTTTTGCTGACCGGAAGGCCAATGTTTGGAGAAGAAACTCACTGAATTCATATTTGCTGCTGCTGCTCGGTAGCCTGTTGTGTCCACAGAGTGCCCTCCTTTGGGTGAAATAAAGGAGGAGGAGCAATATGATGTAGGTATCTACAGTTCCCTCCTTCAGTGTTGCGAAATTCGATTCATTTTGCGAATCGATTCTTTTGGTTCACAAAAATGAGTCAGTTAAATCATGAACATGAACATGAACGCGTGTGTTTGTTATTAAAAAAAAATATATATATATAATAAAAAAATCTACGTCTCGTGTGTTCGTTGGTCATACAATCATACCACAGTTCCAATGTTCTACTGTTCGGCTATTACGTTATTTTTCTCGGTTCAGTTCAAATGAACTTGTTCAACAACTCAAATCATTAACGTTAGTTATTGGTAATTCGGAAAATTACGATTGAAAATCCGGTTTAGTTCTGAATTCTTACAATCATTTTGGCACTACTTAGAACCGCTAATTTTGACTCCAGAACGTGAGCGTGAACCGAGAATATTAAAAAAGTCGACTCAAATGAACAATTCGCCCTCGAATCGGACACCGCTAGTAGCGAATATGTCCAAATGATTCATTATTACAAAAAGACTGGTTCAAAAGAACGACTCATCTGTGAAACAAGTTACCATCAAACTGAAGTTGTTGGCGGGTGTCATTTTTTGTTTCTAGCGGACCCACCGAAGCAGAGTGGGGGATTTTCATGATGGTGAGATCCAGAGCTGAAAGCGAAAGCGGGCGTCGTGCGGCAGTGCTGTAGCAGTTACTGGTGCTAGCGTTCAAACAAACACATCATGGAAAAGAGCGGATTTAGAGCGATGTTACTAGCGATCTCTGATAAACTTACTGAAGACAATTTGACAAGTTTAAAGTTTTTGTGCACCGACATCGGGAAGAAAAGGCTCGAGAAAATCAATAAGGGGATTGATCTTTTCGAGTGCTTGATCGAAAAAACTGCAATTGGGCCTGATAACACGGAACTTCTGCGAGAACTTCTAATCCAGATCGGTCAGAGAGTTCTTCTGGAAATAATAGATGATTATGAGAGAGGGGCGACTGGGGGCCCTGCTGGTGTACTGGACGCGAAAGAGCGAGGTTTGTACTTTTACTGAACGCTTGCGTTTCATGTAGCATGCGGCTGTTCACTGACAGCAAACAGTGGCTCGTGAGGCAGGTAACGTTAGGCAGAGATTAATAGCCTATTTTTGCTTAACACTCTAAATGCCTCTTATTTTAAGTGAAACGATGGCTTAAGGTCAGGTTGAGGTATAGTTTCTGTGATTTTTCAAAATGTATTCTATCGTTTTAGACCGCTGTTTCACTGAGGTGATGTTTACTCTATAGTTCTTGCGACTTCCGTCTTATCACTAGTATGTGAAATGCTGTTTATGTCAAGTCGGTTTTAACATTTATTCCTTTTCACGTACTAATGTCTATTATATTTTAGTAATATTTTATTTTAGTACTATTGTGTAATCCAATAACGTTAGCCTAGTAACTTGTATCTTTTACACTAATATTTGTTTATTAGATACTCATTAGGCCTAGATACTGTCCCAATAATGACAGCTATTGACTGTTCCATTCTTCTATTCCATTACTGGTAACAAATTGCTTATTTTTTCACACTAAGTTCTTTTTAAAACGGTCCTTATTTAGTCGTTCATTACGTAGCTCATACAGTATAGTTCGATTTGTGTGTTTTTTCATGGGCAATATAAAGAACAGGGCTGAAATAATGCTGTTAAACACGTAATACAATTTAATAATAATAATAATAATAAACTATTAAGCCTGTTGTATTATATGTCGGTAATACATGAATTTCTAAGGCCTTAAACTATCCACTTGAAAAACCTGTTGTACATAGTATACTATCAATCAGATGACAGTAAGTACACTATATAGGATTGCAAAAAGGTGGAAAATTTCCAGTAAATTTCAGAAACATTCCAGAAATTTTGGAAACTTTCCAGGATTTTTTGGGGAATATTCCAGGGATTTTTGGAAAGCTTCCGGAATTTTACCAGAAATTTTCCACCCCTTTGCAACCCTAATACTATATACTTTGTTTAGTAAGTAAAAGACCTTTTAGTATAATTCTAATACTGTCCAACTTCAGGTCATTATATACGTCTTTATAAGTCTTTGCTGATTTTTATAAAGTAGCCTAAAAATTGGAATTATGTTGTTACTAATACGATTAATTAATCTTATTAATAAATCAGGTTTACATATCCAAACATCATTTTTTTGGAAAAATCATGTTAAAAAGTAAGTATCAAAAATGATACAAGAGGCTTTTGAGGATTTTGTATGTGTGTGTACATCTCTTAATCATCATTATATTGTATTACATTATATATTTTGCCCCCACAATAAAAACTACAGAGCTTTCATCATAAAACTAAGCATTTAAATATCATCTTACTAAGACATTATTGGGAAATGTAGAGTGACAGCTGATATTTATATGCAGTTTATGCAAGTAGTCTGCTATACTATAGAAATCTTGTAGATTTACATTACAATCTATGATAATTTCATCTTACTTTTTGGCCATATAACAACATCTACACCAAATAGCATATTTTTGTTCAGTATGGGACTTTTTTCAGCTTCAAGTATTCTCATATCAAACTATATGGGCCATAAAAGCCTGATGTATCAAATGTGATACAAAACATAAAACGCATATACCATTTTTTTCTTTCATATTTTGTTCAAGTAATTCGAATTTAATTTAGACTTTACAGGGTTAAAGATGTACACAAAATGAAGTAATTTTACTCACTAATCACTAAATGATTTTAAAATTTAAAAACTTTATTATGAAAATTTAACAAAAATAGGATGTAACACATTGCTATTTGGCAACGTACACAGTAATTGCCCTTTGAGGTCAAATAATGCTGATTATGTTGATCAGTATTTCCCATAAAAGTATCTGGAAACTTAGGGCTTGTTTACACGACACTGTTTTCAACTAAAACCAGAAAACGTATGCGTTTTGGTCATTCATTTATACAACATCAGCATTTTGGGGGGCTAGAAAATGCAAACTTTTGAAAACAGTTTTTTTAAGTGCAATTTTTGGAAAATGATACTGTTATCGTCTCCATGTAAACTACAAAAATGTGCATTACGAGTTCAGTATATATGTGTGCAGGTGCGTAGTGTTTCTTTACAAAGTGACATTGGCCAACTACTGGCCTGGCATGCATAATACAGTGTTTTTGTGAATCCATGTTAATGGGGATCATTTTGACAGCGTTGTCGTCTGTACGTGAAACTTTTCAAAAAACGCAAAGGAAAAACGTTTCCCATTTTAGTATAATGTTGTCGTGTAAACGTACCCTTATGCCACACTTAAAATTGTATGAATCACATTCAGTAACAAAATATGAAACCAAAGTGGCATTTATTTGAAAGAAAGATGCATTAATGTGAAGAACCAGTGATGCTATTTCTGAGAAAAGGTCTTGTATCATTTGTTTGCAATGCTGCTTGGGTTTTTTATGCAGTGAACTTCATACATTGTTACTTAAAGAGTTAGTTCACCCAAAAATGAAAATTCTGTCATTAATTACTCACTCTCGTGTTGTTCCAAACCCGTAAGACCTTCGTTCATCTTCGGAACACAATTTAAGATATTTTTGATGAAATCTGAGGTAGTGCTGGGCGGTATACCGGTGTTCGTCTTCGGAACACAATTTAAGATATTTCTGATGAATCTGAGGGTTCTCTGACCCTCCCATAGACAGCAAGGTAACTACCACGTTCAAGGTCCAGAAAAGTACCAAGATGATCAACAAAGTAGTCCGTGTGTCATCAGTGGTTCAACTGTAAAGTTACGAAGCTACGAGAATACTTTTTTTGCACAAAGAAAACAAAAATAACGACTTTATTCCACATTTTCATCTCTACTGCGTCACTTGTGGACGCACGTTCATGACGCGAGCGTGTGGCGAGCCCTCAGATTTCATCAAAATTATCTTAAACTGTGTTCCGAAGATGAACGAAGGTCTTACGGGTTTGGAACAACACGAGGTTGAGTAATTAATGGCAACATTTTCATTTTTGGGTGAACTAACCCTTTAAGTGTTACAAATACAGTAACTGAAGTCCAAATCATGTTGTAAAACTAGTGGCCCTGCAGAAAACCACTCGAAAAGATTTTCAGTTTTATTCAGATTCTAATCAAATTCAAACTTTTTGTATCTCTTTTTTTTTTTAGAAAAAATAAACATTGCAACTGAAGTAATTGTTGAACATTTGGGTAGAAAGTGGCTTCAATTTGGAAGAAAACTTGGACTTAAGCACACTCAGCTGGAAGGCATACAGGAGAAGCACAGCCGTGACCTGGAGGAGCAGGTGAGGGAGCTCATCAGACAGTGGATGAAGATGAAGAAAGAAAACGCCAGAGTGGAGGATCTCATCAAAGCTCTTCGGGACTGCAAACAGAACCTCACCGCTGATCTTGTGGAGAAAAACCTCAAAGACCTTGATGCACACTAAAAAAAATAATCACTGTTCTATTATAAAACAACAGAACTTTGGGGTTAATAATGTGAATTTCTTTTCGAACTGCAGATGAACTGAATTAAATTGTGTCTACAGATCTTTCTGAATTAATTGTACACGTAAATATTGCTTTAGATAATATATTTTACATGAAATTGCAAGGCAAGAAAAGGAAATTCTTTGAATAAGTGACAAAATCAGTAAATACAAGAACAGTGTTGTGTTATGTGTTCTGTAAAAACTGAAAAATCCTTACGCTTTGCAAGAGTGAATGAGAACTGTCTATTAAGACAAAGGATGTACCACATTTACAAAGGAATAAAGGGACTATGATGTATGATTGAACAATGTGCCTCATGACAGGCCTTTCAACTGTTTGATGAAGCATATTTTGAGTCATAACTTTTACTTATTCTATACGTCACGGTATAGAAATGCTCAATCATTATATTTACCCAGGTTGTTCCATCTAAATCCTACGATTTAAATATTGCACAAATAGGCTGTCAAAGCAAAGTTCAGTACTCGTCCTCAGACTGCCTCACAGTGGCGTGTGTTCAACATGTTTCAGTCACCTGACATGTCTTATCATTTGGGAACAGTTTATTTTGAGTCATCTCTGCTTTGTCCCACACCGGTTGTATAGGTTGAGTTTCCCAAAAGCAGCCTAAATGGCTTGTATCGAGACCACTGGTGCCAATGGTTTCTACTTAAAGGCTGGATGGCACTACACGATTTTTAAAACCTGAACAAATATTAAAACTAGGTATCATTCATTTGCAGACATTGTAAATGTTTATAAGAAAAACTGGGCATCATATACTAAATAACACAAACTCACACAAAAGCACAAGTCATTGCTGAGAGACACAACAAATGAAAACAATTGTTTTAAAATGGCTCGGAATTTCATGTTTAATGTTCTCCAACCGGACAGATTCATAATCTACAGCTAAAACAAAACAAAACACTGACTACATGATTTTCAGTGAACTCTATCAACTCAGACCGTCCAAAATCTTCAGACTGGCTCTGACTCAATTCCTCCAGACTGCAAATGGGGGCAATAATTCATTCGGCGTTTAGCTTTATGATGCTTTTGGGAAACACAACCCAGGTCAGTTAGAACAGTTGAGCTCAAATTTTGCTATGAATTCATAAACCGAGCTCATGTAACGGTTCTTGATGCTTAGATTTGATGTTGCTGCTTTATAATTCATCTATTTGCTGTTTTTGTTTGTCAGTGTGTACATCTATGCATGTGTACAGCAATGCAGATCTCCAGTAAATTTCCAGAATTGCAATACTTTTAATAATAAATCTGCTCATATCTCTAAAAAGCCACAAAATATTCAGTGCAATAGTGTTTGAGTTCAACTATTTTCTTGTGTTAAAATATATATTTATATAATATTTATGATATATTTTTGTATCATCTACGTTTTTTTTACAATGATAAATCACCTTTTAGCCTTTTTTCTTTTTCTTGCAGTACAAATACTTCTTGAAGTGGACCCAATAAATACGAGGTCATAAAAACTGTACACTCTAAAAAATGCTGGGTTAAATACAACCCAGTGCTGGGTAAAATAGGGACAAACCCAGCAATTGGGCTGTTTTGACCCAGCGGTTGGGTTAAATGTTTAACCCAACCTTCTGAGTAGTAACCCAACCGCTGGGTCAAAACAACCCAATTGCTGGGTTTGTCCCTGTTTTACCCAGCACTGGGTTGTATTTAACCCAGCATTTTTTAGAGTGTATATATAATAATTATAAACGATTAAAAAAATAAAAATGTAAAATTTTTATTTTACTGCATGACTACTTGAAATGTCATGTCAGCTACCCAGTAATTTCCTGATATTTACAAAATAACAAAATATTTTATTCTGAAAAATACTTTCAACATTATAAGAAAACAAAAATGTATGTAATATCTCATAAACCTGAGGAGAACCAAATTAACAGAATGCTTCAGTATGTGGCAGCAGGATACACCTCATTTGTTGTAAACTGTCCTGGCCTTACAAACCACAAAACCCCTCCAAACAACTTTAATGTAATCATTTAAGACTGTTAATTTTAAACAAAAATGTAAAACTTCGTGTTTAAGCAGCATCACAGCCACCATAGGACGATAAGAATCTCATTCACTTTTATTTGGTATTTTTACATTGATTAGTATTAGCTGTTACAGTAGTTTCATGTAAAACCATGTTCACAGTGGGGCACACTGGAGGCAGAGCATGTGGAAATGGAAACATTTCCCATAAGCACTCACACATTCACTTTTACAAGCCCACAAGAAGCCCAGAGGTTTTGCCCTTTCTCTCACACTTTATATCATTTGACATCAGAAACTTTCATGCGCTCCAAATAAAAACAAAAAGATAAATTAAAAAAAGTAAAACAATCCCATCAACAAGATTTTAGAATCTCCTCCCGGATCCCTTGACAAGAATCCTAGAATCACGACTCCAAAGAGCGACTAGTAAGAGCATCTGCCCAGTGACAATTTGTATATTATAAATCCATATATCTTTTGTGAAAACATAGGTAAATATGCAATGAAGAATCCTTCAATTCTGAACTACAACCAAAGAAATGTTGTTTAACTACAACGATCTAACATATTACACAAAATATATCAACACACTAACACGCTTCTCACGAAAGATTCGCAAAACCTGAATATATAAAGTCAGCATAGATTTGATCAAATACTTGAAATGATTCTGATATGTAACTGAAATGTGAAATACTAAAACAAGAGGACTGCAATGATTATCTATCAAAACAAATCCAACAGTGGCGACTCGCACGTCTTCCTGTGAACAAAATGATTCAGACAAACAATGTGTCCATTCAACCGTGTGCTGCATTAATAGCCATGTTGTGAATGTCTGTGGCATTTTATAATAAAGGCACTGATCTTTCAATAAGCACAAGGGCAAAGCGGGACTAACTATTCTTAAAGTCCTCTAGAGTGTCAGTGAAAAGAAAAAATAAAACACTGAACTGCGCACTCCTCTCTGAATCTCCTCGAGTATCGTGGCATTCAATCCATCATGCAGTTGCATGGCTGTGTATTGGACACAACTGCCATAGTTCAGTGTGACCTGACCTTACAGCTGCCACAGTGAAGGTGTGGGTCTCATCCAGGGCGGGTGATCAAGATGTGATGACTTGAACGTAGTTAGCAGGGTAGAGGCCTATTTCTCCGCTGACCAGCTGTCCTTTACACCAGCCCTGCTCGTCCTCCTCACCCAGCTTCATTAACTCTTCACCTGTACGACACAAATATATATTTCATAATACCATGCTTTACTTTTCAATGAGACGTATGCATAGGATAATATAAAACTAGTCATTAATAAAAAACCAGCGGTGAACCAGCCTTGCAGAGTCAACATGCAGTTTCACAAGAGCTGCAATGTCGTCACTTTTTTGTTTCACACACCCTCGTGCCTGTACAGACACATCGAGCATAAACCAGGTTTCAGGCTCAATTTGTCTCTATATACCTACACTCTTAAAAATAAAAAAAGCCTAAAATATACCAGTGTGTATTCAGAGAACTTTAATATTCAACTGCCTCAAAAACACATTCCCTTATGAAGGTTTGCTTGAGGAACACTGAAAAAAAATAAAACGTTGTAGGATTTACTTTGAAAAAATTTTCACTCTGAAACTGATAGCAAATTTCACAAATAATTACAAAGAAACGACTAGTAACATATTGAATTAAACGAGAAATGTAGAAGTTTTTGGCAAAACGTACTTCAATAAACTTCGAAAATCAATTTTCTAAAGTGAACCATTTATAGTTCTTGTAGGAACCTGTGTTTTTCTTTCATTAAAGAAAGTTTCACACAGAAGAAAGAAATAATACTTTTGAAAAATATGTTTATAATTATATACACTTGCATTAGATTCCACAAGGGCATTGGTAACTGACAACATTAGCTTTAGCATCATGCTACAGCCACACCACAAGGTGTCAGTATAAATCCAAGATGACTGTACAACAAACACAAATACTGAGTACACCTTTAAAGGGGTCATATGATGTTGCTAAAAAGAACACTATTTTGTGTATTTGGTGTAATGAAATGTGTTTATGCGGTTTAAGGTTCAAAATACACATTTATTCTATACGTCACGGTATAGAAATGCTCAATCATTATATTTACCCAGGTTGTTCCATCTAAATCCTACGATTTAAATATTGCACAAATAGGCTGTCAAAGCAAAGTTCAGTACTCGTCCTCAGACTGCCTCACAGTGGCGTGTGTTCAACATGTTTCAGTCACCTGACATGTCTTATCATTTGGGAACAGTTTATTTTGAGTCATCTCTGCTTTGTCCCACACCGGTTGTATAGGTTGAGTTTCCCAAAAGCAGCCTAAATGGCTTGTATCGAGACCACTGGTGCCAATGGTTTCTACTTAAAGGCTGGATGGCACTACACGATTTTTAAAACCTGAACAAATATTAAAACTAGGTATCATTCATTTGCAGACATTGTAAATGTTTATAAGAAAAACTGGGCATCATATACTAAATAACACAAACTCACACAAAAGCACAAGTCATTGCTGAGAGACACAACAAATGAAAACAATTGTTTTAAAATGGCTCGGAATTTCATGTTTAATGTTCTCCAACCGGACAGATTCATAATCTACAGCTAAAACAAAACAAAACACTGACTACATGATTTTCAGTGAACTCTATCAACTCAGACCGTCCAAAATCTTCAGACTGGCTCTGACTCAATTCCTCCAGACTGCAAATGGGGGCAATAATTCATTCGGCGTTTAGCTTTATGATGCTTTTGGGAAACACAACCCAGGTCAGTTAGAACAGTTGAGCTCAAATTTTGCTATGAATTCATAAACCGAGCTCATGTAACGGTTCTTGATGCTTAGATTTGATGTTGCTGCTTTATAATTCATCTATTTGCTGTTTTTGTTTGTCAGTGTGTACATCTATGCATGTGTACAGCAATGCAGATCTCCAGTAAATTTCCAGAATTGCAATACTTTTAATAATAAATCTGCTCATATCTCTAAAAAGCCACAAAATATTCAGTGCAATAGTGTTTGAGTTCAACTATTTTCTTGTGTTAAAATATATATTTATATAATATTTATGATATATTTTTGTATCATCTACGTTTTTTTTACAATGATAAATCACCTTTTAGCCTTTTTTCTTTTTCTTGCAGTACAAATACTTCTTGAAGTGGACCCAATAAATACGAGGTCATAAAAACTGTACACTCTAAAAAATGCTGGGTTAAATACAACCCAGTGCTGGGTAAAATAGGGACAAACCCAGCAATTGGGCTGTTTTGACCCAGCGGTTGGGTTAAATGTTTAACCCAACCTTCTGAGTAGTAACCCAACCGCTGGGTCAAAACAACCCAATTGCTGGGTTTGTCCCTATTTTACCCAGCACTGGGTTGTATTTAACCCAGCATTTTTTAGAGTGTATTAATGCTTAAAAAAAGAATAATAAGTGTTGCTCATTGTTAGTTAATGCATTATTAACTAAAGTTTACTAATGGGACCATAATGTAAAGTGTTACCTCATCATTTACTCATCCTCATGTCTTTCTGTATATGACTTTCTTTCATCTGTGAAATAAACGTTTTGAAGAACATCCATTCCTCTGTTTCCAATACACAGTATGGTTTGTCAAGCTACAAAATGACAAAAGCAACATTAAAACATAATAAATATCTTTTATATAAATAAATACACTCATTTAATTAAATATGAAAAGTTTTAAATTAAAAACTCAGCATTTGTGGGTGTTATATATTGTATACTACACTCTAAAAAATGCTGGGTTAAATATAACCCAGCGCTGGGTTAAAA